AGACCTAAATGATATCATGAAGGTGGGTTTCACTGTTGTGGTTAAACAGTCAAAGCCAGCTCGGGAAATTGAATTCCAGAACAAATCCAGGTCTCGTGTCCACATTTAAACAGACAGGTCAGCTAAGTTACAGCAACATAAAGCAATGACACCAGCCTTGCCTGAGGCAAAGCGCTTTGTAACTGTGGTTACGAATTAAGGATAATACCCCACAGAGCTCACAGAGCTTTCAAACATCTTCCCTTGACAAACCAGCGTGGAGAGAAAAAAAGACGGAAAGCTAGCTGTGGCAGGAATAAAAAACAAAACACTAAAGTTAAGCGCACACACCCTCAACAGATCAGAGCCAAAGTGGAGTATCACAAATACAACTATCACTGTTGTCTTTTTTGACTCCAACAGCCATCTGTGCATTACAGCGACTTCGCACAACACTCCCTTTAAACTGGAGTCTTATCACGTAAATATGAGCAATAGGAATTTCACAAGTAGTTGCATGGGGGATGAGGGGAGGAGGGGGCTTGGGGAAGTGTAACTTTTGACTGCAGTGAGTCATACAGGGAAGCTGATGAAGCAGACTCTGCTGCCTCACAGGGATAAGGCAAAGCCAAGAGGGTGTGGCAATGATACAGACAGCCACCTTTGTTTGAACTAGGACTGGCTCAGTTTAACCAGAAGGCCATTCACATCTAATGCCTGACCTGTTGGTTTCACATGGCACGATCTTAACCTTGCTGGCAGCAAGCAAGGTTAAGATTGGGCTGCAAATGGTTTAGTCACCATAGGAAGAGGAAACATAATAGACCAACAAGCTCATTCTCCTTTAGAGAGAGGAGGAGCGCTTTGGATCTGTTCCAGTCTTCTTTCAAAGACCAGAAAGTTGTCTACAGTAACAGCCAGTTTGGAAAATAACAGTTTTCACACTTACAGCCATTCTGTAGCTAAATAGCAAGTGTTTAGCAGTGAGAAAACTGGTGTTACTGTTCAGCACCTGCAGGCATCTGTCAGGGCGTTGGCTGTCTTCTTTGGGCATTATCAAACAAAGAAGAGTGCTGCTAAGACTTAAGCTGCCTTGCCTGAACTAGAACTCTGCATATTCATGCAAACACTTGATGTGCAAGAAACGCTGCTGCTGTGATGGATGATGTGGCCACTATAAGAGACAAACTGGAAATACTTAATTCCTACATCTCAAGGCGGTTTTCACAACTGAAACCAGGGACAGCCGGTGAAATGAGACACGTTTTATGGGCCGAGGGAATCTCGAGGAAACCATTCACCATACACCCACCATAAAGGAAGCGACCTCCTCTTTCGGTTTAGACTCAATAGAAACATTTTTGAATACATAATGGCTCCAAATGTCTAGCAGAACTTTCAATCCAGGACCTGGAGCATGAAGACACATGTCATAGATGCAATCTTTTGAGCTGAAAGGTGACATCTTTGTGGTTCTTCTGTTTGCTCCAAAAAGGGTACGGTTTCAGGAAACTGTCATACAAATAAACACAATAACGCCGCAAGGCAATAATGACACAAATGAACCAAAATGCTATGAGGTTAAAGGCGGTTACAGATGGTCCGTGCACGTATGCGTGCATGTGTGTGCGAGAAAGAGAGACAGATCTGTGGAAGGAAATGCAACTTGGCATGCTGCAAGGCCGCTGTAGCCGTGCAGCAGCTTGTCTGGTAAGAACAGCAGCTGCATTCCTGAGAGATTTATAATTACCGACTGAGGAACTCTTCTTTCCAATCCTGCTTTCACCTCCCCCCCCCAGCATCAAACACACACACCTCCTCACCCCCTCCACCTATTCCCCTTTTTTTCACCCCATGCAGTGGCCTTCTAGGAGACAGCGCCATGAAAGAAAAATGGATAATGGCTGGCGCATGGAAGTCATTTTGAGATAACATTATAATGTGTGGTTGTGTGCGCTGGCCCAGATTGTTGTTCCCTGTGTTTATGCAATATTTTAACTTCTATGGAAACAGGGCAAATGGAGGTACTGTAGGTGGGCAACAGCAAAGTGATATCTATTAAATGATAATCTTAACTAGAGGTAAGGTGTGAATGCCAGTGCTTACCTTTTTCAATGCAAAAGCTGGATTTAAAGAGAAAAAAAAAGTCTGGAAAGTTGGCGAGTTGCGACAAAGTCTCGTTTGCTTTGCCTCCAGGGGTTTCTGGGGGTCTAAGTCTGGACTGCAGTCTCTGCAGAGTTTAAAGACCTCTGGACTGACAGGTCAGACGCAGATAAAAAGAAACTGCTGTGCAGCAGCAGTGACCAGCTCACAGAAAAGGCAAACACAGCTGGAGAGCGAGGTTTAAAAATACATCCTGGCATCTTTGTGTCTCCGCTCAGCCCAAGTCAAAACAATATCCTTTCAGTTTAAAGCTCACTCCGTCTGACAGTTGCTTGGCACTGGCAAGTGTGGGAATAAAAACACTTGAAAGAGCTTAGAGCACAACTTATGTGAAGCCTCAGAAAGACACTAAAGTAAACAGCCTCAGTCCCAAATTGAGTAAATCATGATGACTTGGATGGCCAGCTAACAGCCACTGATTGGATTTTTCATCTCTTGATAAGAGCTCATTGATTAACTTAATCATCAGTTAATCTCTCTGATTAATGGCCTGCTTTCTTCCACTCATCAGTCAGGCGTTTCCGTTCTCTGCAGGCCTGCATGACACACAGAAATCAGTCACTCGGTGATCACACACACACTCGTGCGCATTTTGTCTCTTGCAACATTCGATTGCTCCTCTTGTTGCTGTTCTTGACCGCCAGCTCTCCCCTTTCCTCCACTGATCTCAGTCACGTGTGAACCACAGCACACAGCTGAACAGCTGCACCTACCTGTCTGCTTACCCAAGATCCGAGTGCACTTACACCCCTTAGCTCCCAGTGTAATCTTCATCCCGGCCCTCTCCTCACATCCTTGCCTTTTGTCATCTCATCTCTGCCTTAACATCTGCTCCCCTCCCCAAATCTCGTGTTTCTACCGGGTTCCGCCATGCATCCAAAAGTGCTTACACAACGCACCTGTAATGGGTACAAGCCCAAGCATGGCAGGCTGGCCAAGAAGGAGCACCAGTATGTGACACACCCTTTTTAAACAAATGGCTCAGTCTCAGCCTCACCTATTAGAAAGGTATAACAGCTAAACCTGCAGCTAAAAAAAAAACAACTCAAACAACTGAAAGTGCTGATTGGTTTTTCAGAGAAGTTTTGATTATTGGAAGCTCATTCCAGACCAAAGTCCAGCAGATGCTGCTGCAGCAGACAGCCAAGAGGGGGAAAGGGAGAGGGAGTCCTAAGGTGGTCGCGTTATCTCCCTCGGGTTAATCAGCAAGCAGTGGGTTATGAAGTGCGTGTTAACTGCCATTTATTAAAAGAAGTGTCAGGGGACTATGCCGTAAAAAGTGTGCTACTGGATCAGTGACTGGACCCAACACAATACCCTTCATTGTCACGAGCTCCATAGCTAAGAGAAGCACTACAGGTCTTAGATTACCTCTGTATAGGATCCCTTAGCTGAGAAGCAACTCTCCCACACCTTGTTTTTCCATACATGCCTATACTCAACATCTAGCCATGGAGTTGCAATTTGAACCAAACTTTATTTGAACAGACTTGAGATCCCTGGTTCTGACATGCATGGACTATTTTTCTTTACTTCTGGGCTAAAATTACCGTACTTATGTTGCCCATAACTAAAAACCTGCATTAGGAAGAAGAAAAATCGTGCTGATATAACAGCTTCACTTCTAAACCTACTTTCTTCACGCCTTCAAAAGCCAGTCAATCATATTGATCCTTATCTGTTTGTTTTTTCCCTATGCAGGAATATTAAACCCTTTCTCCTAAAATTCACGCCACAGCTCAGTTTCGAGGGACTTTCCCAGCAGGAATTCCAACAAAAAATAAATAAATAAAAATAATGCCAACACAATAAGGTAGCCATTAATCTGACGCTTAAGTTGGACAGATAAAAAAAAGAAGTGTCAGACGTACCGTAACGAAACTTTAAAGACTGATTTAGCCGCTCTCCATTTGAAGCGTCGCCCTGCTTCGCCCTCGTTCTCCAACTCCAACTTTCAGCGCCCGAAGGAAAACTCCAGGTGAAGCATTTCCGTGAAAAGTTAAACTTCAGGATACAACTGCAGCCTGGATGTGTTTGCACGCCCGGCTTCAGCCCTCGCGTTTAAGGTGCCAGGAGAGCGTGTCCTCTGGTCGTTTGTCTGCGGACGCTTCACTGAAGCAAAATGTGGGACTACCGAGAAAAGTCGCGCCGCAGTCGACCCGAGGTCCCACCTGACGGAGGCTGGGCACACTCAGGTGAGCGCGCGGGGCTGCGGCCGTTGATTTGGCGACATCTAGCGGTGGAACGAGGAATAACGAGCTAATAGCATGGAGCAGACTGGGGAGAAACTGGAACTTAATTTTCCCACGGTTAGTTTACGTTTCAGGTATTTACGTCTGCATTTTTTTATTCATGAAGACTACTTAAAGAAACTGTAGATAAAAGCTTGCGTGGTGAATAGAGGTGGTCACACCAAATGTTGACTTTCAAGCTCGTTAGAGCTGTACACACGCATGTATGTTTGCACACGTTTCCAGCAAAACATAAAGAAACAACGGGTGTCTCAAGACTTTTGCACAATACTGTAATAATACAAAAAGAAAATGTTCTTTGTCCTTCTTTAACCTTTTGGATATCCTTGAAAATATCCAAAGTTACTAGCATGAAATTTTGTATTTTAATAATATTATATAATAAAAAATATACCTTATTACTTAAAGATGTTCACATCTTTCAGATCACCTCCTTCATTAAATCCATATTCACATGTCTGAGTGTGTGTTTGTTTCCACTTGTCTGCGAAGAGTGTGATAGGCAGTATGCAAAACACCTCAAACAAATACTGTTACATAAACCATGCAAACTTGGTCAGCTGAGCTGAGTCCTGGAGGAAGATATTAATTGAAAAGCATGCATGGTCCTGCTAATGTCGACACCTTTGCCTGTAAGGTAGTCTGGGGTACACTTGTGGAAAGTTATTGCTCAGCTCAGCTTTCCACCATGATGTCACTACCTTCTTAAACACACATTGAAACAGGTTGTGAAGAAGGGTAAATATAGCTCTCTGTGGCACCCGGGCTGGTCCGGACATGCGCTAACTGCCACATCCAGAGCACACTGAGTCTGCTTCCAGCACTGACACAGTTTGTGAGCCCATGAGGGAGTCTTAGATAGAGTTTCTCCCAGGCCTTCAGTGTTATTAATAAACACAAAATGTGCCTCCGTTTTCCTGGAGACAGACACTGCAGACCTCTTCCTAAATGAAAACCGTGCTAACACAGTAACTGCCTGAACATTTAGTCGGACTGCCAGTTAACGTAAGTACACATCTATGTTAATAAAAGCTGTTTCTTTAATTATTTGACAGGTTGAAAGGGTCTGTAGTGTTAAGCTTTAGGACAGGCCTCTCAACTTTAACAGCTATCAGAATGATTGATGTGTTTGTCTTTACAGTTCATTCCTCTTAACAATCTGTAAAGGAATAAGTGTTTTGAAAACCACAGTCTTACCAGGTGCTGTTTTTAATGGCTCTCGCCTTGTTTTCTTAGATTCTCTCATGGATGATCAAAGCTCAGTACAGGATGGAAACTTCATGTTATCTACTGATGACTCACATGTGCAACTGAGATTTTCTGAAGATATCTCACCGAGCAACCGCACAGACTCTGAAACACTAGGTAGATTTGCTCAAGATCCTATTCTACGCTCAGAACAGGTGGACATGGAGAGCTTGGGTGAACTCTTTGAGCACTGCATACAGCGAGTATCCCATCTAGAGAGGCAAAGAGATGTGCTGATACAGGAGCTTCTGGTTCTACGGGAACCTATGCTGCAAGTTGTGGGGCACTTGAGAGCGAAGCTGGAGGGAACACGCAGGCTTCTCGCTCTGGCTCAGCTGGATTATATTACGGTTTGTGAGGATGTGCAACAGGTAAAGAGGAAACTGTTCACCACAACCAGAGACTGCATCCAGAGCCAGGTGAAGCTAGCCGAGCAGGAGTACGAGGTGGCTCAGTCTGCTGTTACTCAGGTAGAAACCACAGGCTTTACATTTAATGATGATTTACTTCTGTAGTGTAGGTTTGCTTAGTATAGCAACATCATATAAAACTTGGGGTCATCATGGCTGCAGCTTGTTTATGGTTTGATTTTCAGTTATTTGAGTATCATGAGTATGAGTTCTTGTTGTTTTAGTTCTAGCTACTGTTTGCACCCTATAGAGAAATTAGCATTCAGATAAATTCATGTACCCAACTAAGCTACTGGGTAGTTTCCATTTCCACTCTCTTGCTATATGGGATCCTTTTATTTGCTGAATGTTTTTACCCACAGATAAAAATAGCCTCCATTATCAAATGTAATACTTTTCATTTTTATTTTACATCTCTTCATAGGAAGAACTCAAGGCTCAAATTCAAAGTCTGACCCAGGAGTTGGTGCAGCTGGAGGACGCCCACCAGAACCAGCTCAATTCCCTCCCTGATCAGGCCACTAAGCCTTGCAGGCCCAGGGCCATGAGTGACATCAGCCAGTGTCGCCAGGCCTCCATCAGACTGCAGCGAAGGCTCAGTGGCAGTGTGAAGATGTTGGAAGGCTGGTACGAGCCTCGCCTCATGGTTCTGCTGAAGAGAAGGCAGGTTGGGGAGGAAGCTTTGAGAAAAACCAGGGAGCAGGCAGTGGACCTGAGAGCCGGGCTGAAGCCTCTGAGAGAGGAGATACAGAGGCTGGAGGTGCAGAGATCATGTCTGAAACAGAGGATCACTCTTTTGGAGACAGAGCGGCAGGAGAGCACTGCACAACATAAGGTACAAGAGAGGTTGGATAGAACAGATGTTCAGTAAAACTAGATGACAGTATGTTTTTATTTTATGCAGAAGACTGTGGAGAAACTAAGAAAGACTCTGAGAGAACTAGAAGTGGAGTTTGAGGTTCAGAGAAAATCGAAGAAAGGCTTGGAAGATCTTAAAGATGGCCTTTTAGCAGAGCTGACATTTCTGAGGTGGGTTTATCCCAATCATTTCTGCTTTAACTTAGTAAAAGTCAAGATAATAAATGAATAATAAACTTATTTTCTTATAGGGGTTGTGAACTCAGTGACATTACAGAGGAAGAGTCATAAGTTTCAATTTCCCGAGACATCAGACATGAGACCAAATCACAACGCTGACATTATGGTAAATGGACTGGTTCTTTTATAGCGCTTTTCTACTCATCTGAGCACTCAAAGCGCTTTACACAACTTGTGCATTCACACCCATTTGCACAAGCACATCTTTCTAAGTGCTTCATAGCTAACATTTACACACATTCATACTCCGATGGATCGGAGAGCAATTTGGGGTTAGTATCTTGCCCAAGGATATTTGGCATGTAGGCTAGGGGAAGCCAGGAATCGAACCACCAACCTTCCGATCAGTGGATGACCTGCTCATGTAATGGGTGAGCTACAGCCACCCCATTACATGTTTGAAAATGCGGTCTACTTAATGCAAGCGTCTTGTTACTCGCTCACATCCGACTTAACATCTAAAATGTTGTGCCAAGAAAACAAAGCAAACAGCTTTACTGTAAATATTTTTATATGAATATACTTAAGTACACAAAAGATCAGATGCAGAGAAAATGCAGAGAGAAAAACAAAACACATACAAGTGACAACACAATTTGGGGGAATTTCATACTACAAATACCAGGCAAATTAAAAGGATCAACCTACAGTATGTACAATAACATTTAAAAATGGATCTTCCACAGAAATGTTTCTGCTCAACTAACCAAGATGGAAGAAATAAAACCAACAAAATGCACACTTAGGTGATCATAAACATGTCTGTGGTTTCATCACGAGTCAGAATTCAGTTCGAAAAACTAAAAAGATCTAAAAACCTGATCATTAGAGACCTTTTCTTAAACATGTCACATGATGACATGGCAGCATTTTATTCTTTTATTTTCTACAAAACACTGCTGCTCAAACTGTATTTTAAAAAGACTGCTTTTTCACCCAGTGCTGGTAAACGGATCCATTTTTAATGAGCAGGTCAAAAGAAGAAGACACGTGGAGACCGGACTCATGCCTGGACTTCTGAATCTGCAGCACCTTCTGGGTCCTCGTCATTGTAGATATTTTCAGCCTGCAGATAATTGCCAAAAAAATAAAAGATTTTTAATGTAACTGCTCTTCTATGTTATAATAATAAATGCACTTTACTATTCAAATCCTCGCTGTGTTGTAACTGATCGAGTTTTCTTTACAAAGCCTTTACCATCTGCCACACTTGCATGATGTTGTCCTCTGATACTGAACAGATGACCCACGGCTCGTTGGGGTTCCAAGAGAAGTCTGAGATCTTAGCTGTGTGTCCTCCGTGGATGAACTGAAACGAAATGAAGCAGAAAGATTTAGCACAATGATCGAGATTTAGCTTAAAAAATAAAACAAAGTCAATGTTTGAAAGCAACATTACAGTATTTCCTACACAAAGACTTGGGCATGCTCTTCCAGTGTGGTGGTACCTTACTAACAGACCAACCAAGTCACTGTTAAGGCAGTGACCACTGCCTCTCTAGAAAAATCATGTAGCTTGCTGGACTCCAACTCTATTGTTATGGATTGCATTTGGTGACAGTAGTCCTTGTACTGCCCTACAGAGCCGCTGCAAGCTGCAGGGTCACTAACTACAAACTGCAGCAGGTGGAGAAGTTCGTGTGCCAGTAGACATTTCTCAGGCTGCTGAGCAGAACAATGACTATCATCACCAGCTGCAGTCCATGCATTGGTGGAGCTATAGTCCATCTGCTGGACAAGACTCTTACTGGAGAGTCTGGGTGCATAGAGCCTCTGACGTCACCACAAATATGCTCATTTTGTTGAGAAAAACTGCATCATCACCACCGCTCATTGTCACAACTCACCAGCAGCTCAGGAGGGCCATCCTCAGCATCCTCTGGTGACTGCTCCTCTCCAATCTTACTGAGGTCCCAGACGTTGAGCCGCCTGTCGGTGCCGCTGGAGGCCAGGATGGTTTCGTTATGAGGAGACCACTGAACCTGTTGGAAAAAGATGTGGATATGAAACCTCTGCAATTAAGTCCCCCCCTTGCAGTACTTTGGTGAATATAATTGTAAATATTATATCTATACAAAGAATTAAATATTCAACCCTAAATTCCAAGGGTACAAGTAAGTGTACAACCAAAAGCTTTAAACAATTCACCATCACATATTTTCACAAATTACTACAAAGTCCTACAATCCTTTTTCTCAAAAATGTTTTTCCCAAAGTTGAAAAATTTTAACTCCTGCATCAGACAACACTGTTTTCCACCAGTTCACCTCATTGTATTGACTTTGTATGCAACTGTAAAAGCAAACAACTTCCTGACAGTTTGTCTTTTTGTTAACTTAATTATACCATTAATAGCAATTGCATTTCATCTTTTGTAGCCAAAAGCTAGTTATTCACCAGACACATATTTCAGCCTAAATAGCCTCACTCCACAATGCAGTTAGTGAGCTGAAACATTCAAGCCGAAGTTTGCACAACAACAACTACAGATTTATTGCGAGGAAGTTCACTTCTTACCTGGAAGATCTCGTCCTTGTGGGATTCAAACGAGTGAAGCTTCAGCTTCAGGTTCCTCAAGTCCCAAAGAGCCACAGTCTGCAAGTAAAAGGAGGCCAATTCAGTACAGTATCAAGATGCTATTTCACTGTAACTGTCTGAAAGAAAGACGCCTCACCTTATCTGCAGAGCCAGTGGCAAGAATGAACTCGCTGTAAGGATTGAAAGACAGGCAGTTGACCTCAGCAGTGTGGGCGTCCACTGCATGGCTGGGCTTGGAGGTGTTGTTGGACCGCGTGTCCCAACTGTTCCAAAAACAGACAAAAGCACCAGTGTCAGGAAGAAATGTGAAACTGAACAACAACTTTGTTTTTAATGAGTCATCGCTGAGGCTGCTTACATCATGAGTTTCTGGTCATCTGCCACAGATCCAAAGAGCGATTCGTGGAGAAGGTGCCATGAGACGTCCTCCACCACAGCAGTGTGGCCTGTGAAGATAGTCTTGGCATCCACAATCTTCCCCTCTTTGGGAACTGTGCTGATATCCCACAGGCATATAGTCTGCAGAGAGCACAGACGAATGTTAAAAAAAGAAAGGAAAAAAAGAAGTAAATGATTTGTAATATGATAGAAGACAAAAAATCATTTTAACAAGAATAAGGCAGGCATGTCAAGACAGGTTTCTTACGTGGTCATCAGAAGCACTAAGGAGACAGCCACTAAGGTTTGGGTTCCATGAGAGGCCATAGCCCTCCTTCTGGTGGCCCCTCAGACGGAGATCTGGGGTGCATTCTCCAGAAGGGTCTTTAACAGAAATAATGTCAGTGTTAAAAAGCCTGTAGAGCTTCAAATGTAGCGACACATGATATGCAGTTATGCAAGAAAAAGTGTTCTTTCTGCAAACCTACCCGGCTTGGAGGGGTGCTTTGTGTAATCAAAGACTAGCACATCACTGGTGGGGGTCTTGGTGGCAATGATGCAAGGATTCTGAGGCATGTATCGGGCTCTGTTCACTTCTCCTTCATGGTTGATCTTGATCTCAATCTCTATTTTCCCACTAACAGATCCAAAACCTCCAAACTCTGAAATAAAAAGACAACAGATACATGAAGCTCTTCCATTCCATGAAGCAGGTTTTAGGGTGACCTATGCACCGGGGATTTTTATGTATTTTTTTAGACAAAAAATGCAACCCTTAAATTACGTAGTGCGTCATTTATGCCCAATGTTCCTGTTAACCAGTTTTGCTCTTAATAAATGTGTAATAAACATATTACAGAACTTTAAAAAAGCGATTTAAAAAGTACGTAACCTACTATTCTACTTGTTCAGCTGACATTCACTATTGCCCTTGCTTTGCTGAATGAGGTTAAATTTGATTCATGCTGTTACATACGTTATTTCCTTTTCCTTCCTCTTGTGAGCAGAGTTGCCCATAGCCAACAATGTTGTTCTTTCTGCACCATCACACAATTATCAATAAGCTATATAGGAGTTGGATAGCGCTACATTAACAATGTGCAAAATTAAAAGACTACTGAAATGTCCTCCAAACTCTCTGCATTCACCAGGTCTAACAACATTTTCTGGTGGAAGTGTACTAGTATTACTGTGCTAAAGTTGGATTAGATCGATTAAATCAATATCATCCAAAACCAGCTTAGGCATGTCAATTAGTCTGTTTATAAGTGTTATTTCCATGTTTTGCATGTAAAGATCCCTTGAGAACACTTGGAAACTATAAGTTATTCTATGACCTCTTACTGGTGGTGCTCTTGTAACATAGGTTCTCAGTGGACTTTTTATGCTCTCACCTCCTTTCTCGCTGTCATAGTGTGAAGCATCAAACTGCGCATCATCATTCGGCAGTTGAACGCTGGCAATTACGAGGTGATTCTGCTCATCAGAAGTATGGGTCCCCAGAACCAGCCTGTGCACACTGTAGTCCTTTCCCTCTGGTCTGTGGACATATCGCATGATATTTACATATCTGCTACAGTATCTTGTTGTGACTTGGAGCCTGAAAAGGTGTTGCACAACTCCCATTTACCTGGTGACATCTGGGAGCCATTGAGCAGTGAGGCTTGGCCACTCCAGAGCATGGGTCATGACCAGATCATAGAGGAAAGGGGTGTTCTTCTTCCAAATCTTATACTCCTCGTTGATCACCCTCTCCTCCACAGCGTCATCAAAAGCCGCTGCAACAGTAACATTCAACACAAAGCTACGTTATAGTCAAATTTACAAACATATGCAGCAGCTACTTGAGGAAATCTTTTCCTTCCTAGCGTTTTAGCTGATTTTATCAATAAAGTAACAGTAGCACACAATGCTAGAGCAACTGTCGCCCATATAAATAAATAATACAGTCTTTCTGAAGATTATTATAGTGGGGCAGTATATCTGACTGCACTGGTTTAAAACCCTTTTCACCGGCGCGTTAGCAGCTAATGCTAACATCAGCTAACAGCTAGCTGAGTGCTTTCTAACAATGAAAGGTGATGCTGGCTGGCGCGCCAACCACCACCGCTACATCCTGATTCGCATTTTCTGTCACTCTCGACAGCACACACACATAAATAACGTTCTCGTTAAAAAACGTAGACGTCCTTACCGTCTTTATCAGCCATTGTGTGGTTATAATACCGCTACTAATGACAAAATAAGTAATTTTTAGGGAGAGCGCTCAGAAGACAGCACGACGGCTCGCAATGGCGCCAACTCCATAGAACGCGCCTAGCCAATCATAGTCGACGACAAAACCGACAGGAAGTCGTTACGCGACACATCCGGTGCTGTGCCAAAAAAAAGTAACTTCCGGTATTTGCAAACGATAACGATACTACTAATAATAGGTAGTATTTAGGCCGTTTTGAATAAGTTGGCCATTTTTCATGACAGCTGAATGCCCTGTTTTGCAAGGAGGAGCTCTATAACATATACATACGCGTATATGCTCTATAAACTCTCTAGAGGTTCCTATTGCTAGTAATTTTTACAATTTATTATTTGCTTAATTATTTCTGTTAATATATCCATTGTGTAACAATGAAAAAAGAGAGCGAAGAAAAAATAAGTGTTCTTCGTCTTTCACGGAAGCAGTACGGTGAGTCAAGCCTGCCCGGAAATTCAAGAAGAACACACGGACATGGTCTAGATAAACGTCTGCCTTTTTCAACAAGCTTCAATCTACAATGGACGATCGTGTGTTAGACTTGACAGAGGCACAGGAAGCTGTCAAATCCAAATACCCGCCGATCAACAAGAAATATGAATGTAAGTGCGAAGTTATGATACTTAAAGTCGGAGCACCAACCACGATGCTGGTTTCAATGGAAGTCTAAATTTCCGAGTTGTCAATATTTTAAGCTGGACCGCCCCCCTCATGTCACCACCAACAATCACCCCGACTATAACTGGGCCCAGGGCCCTATTTCAGGAAGCCGGTTTAGTGCAAACTCTGAGTAAGTA